TTTGTTGTTGTTTATTTGGTTTTGGCAGCTATGTTGAGCGATTCAGCAGCAGGTAAATGTCAAAAGAAATATAGCTAGAACGATACTATTATTTGTTGTTGTTTATTTGGTTTTGGCAGCTATGTTGAGCGATTCAGCAGCAGGTAAATGTCAAAAGAAATATAGCTAGAACGATACTATTATTTGTTGTTGTTTATTGAGTCTGTGAAGAATGAAGTTTTAAAAGTAGTAATAGCCCTGGTCAAATTTCTTCATGGACACTCGTGTAAAATAATAAATGAATACTACATTTAAAAACAGTAACTTATAATTATTTAAACAATAAAGATGACGCGTTAGAGCGTCGAAATATTTCGAGTATAATGCGATTATAAATCAGTCCCAAATAAAAACGTTTATTGTTTAAGCAAAAATAAATTGTTATTTTAACTGTAGTACTAATACAGTAACCGCCATATTGTAATATTTTACGTCTTTCAACCAAAAAAAGTCTAATTGTTTCACTAGGTTCAGTCTCATGTGTTGTTAACTTTGCTTTGGGTTGTCGTATCCGCTAATGTTCTTCATATAGGATTAGTGTATAATATTTTATCCATTCAGTGACTCTTACATACGCTTTTCTACATGGTTAAAAAATTAATAATAATACCTGCATCCATTTGATAATAATGTTGTTGAATCTGCAAGCGTCTATTTATTTTAGAATAGTAATTTATGTAGATTTGGTTGTATTGATATACCTAAAGTATTGGAAAAAGTTAGAGAAATAGTGAATAAAATTGGTATCGAATGCAAATATTATAAGATTGCTCCCCTATTGCATATAAATGAACTGCACATGAGTACAGTCATGTGTTGGTAGTCAATATTGTTATCCAACCACTCAGACAGTGCCAAACTAGTATAATGCCCGTAACAGTACAGACAATCACATTATTTCCAGTAGTAACATAATAATAGGCCAGAAATTCCACATAACCAATGTGTAGAAATTAAGGTTATAGCTGAGAAATACGCAAAGTCTTCGAAAGGGGCGTTAACTTAAGTAACTCTGGGTATGCTCTTTACATGATATACAACAATTCAATATAGATCTGACCAATGGAACAGCTGTAAATACAAATATAAATGTTACCGCCAGAACAACGAAGTACATATTAGCATGATGTGGCCTCAGTGGATGTACAGCTGCTCTAAAAACATTACCAAAAAGGCTAAAATGGGAATCGTACTTTGAACAAGTGAATCCAACTTATGTAACCAACGATAGTTCGCCGGGAATCGTACTTTGAACAACAGGATGATAAAAGCTGGAGAAGGGCGATTTTTACAAGTGAATCCAACTTCAGTAATCAACGATAGTTCGCCGGGAATCGTACTTTGAACAACAGGATGATAGAAGCTGGAGAAGGGCGATTTTTACAAGTGAATCCAACTTATGTAATCAACGATAGTTCGCCGGGAATCGTACTTTGAACAACAGGATGATAAAAGCTGGAGAAGGGCGATTTTTACAAGTGAATCCAACTTCAATAATCAACGATAATTCGCTCGATGACGTAGAGAGGAAAGTAAAACATCTATAATGAAGCACCTTGGGGACCAATAGAAGTGTGAGCTATGTTTCAGCCAATGGTGTTGGAAATCTACATAAAACTTGTGATATTCTGACTTCAATGGAATTCTTGCAACAATGGCTTAACTTGCACAAAGTCTCGATACTAATGTCATATAAAGTTATATGAACTTATATGAAAACAGAGAAGATCAAACAGCAAACAAATATCTTGGCTGAATTGTGGGGAGTAATACAAAACATTTGGAACAGTATTTCATAATTCAAACATTGATAATCCTATGGTAGCAAAAACAAGATCTATTATTCTGCTACAAACAAATATCTTGGCTGAATTGTGTTAAGTAATACAAGACATTTGGAACAGTATTCCATGATAAAACATTGATAATCCTATGGTAGCAAAAACAAGATCTATTATTCTGCTACAAACAAATATCTTGGCTGAATTGTGGGGAGTAATACAAGGCATTTGGAACAGTATTTCATGATCAAACATTGATAATCCTATGGTAGCAAAAACAAGATCTATTATTCTGCTACAAACAAATATCTTGGCTGAATTGTGGGGAGTAATACAAG